AATCTAAATGCAAAGCGCTCCCATACAGCAGACCTATAAAGTGCTGCTGGCGCGTCTTCCAACTCCTGTTCTTTCCCACTCGCCAGTCCGACACAATTCTCCACAACACCTGATTTTTTTTCCCCTGCTACACCCGGCTAAGCTGCTTCGCTTCTTTTTCTTCTTGTTTACTACTGGCGGTTGGCTTTGGAGTGTAATCGCTTCCTCTATGAGAAAAAGGAGCAGCGCATGAACCGAACGAAACACACGCGAACCGAACCGAGACAGTCGAACCGAACGATTCTGACGGTTTTCATAAATCATCCCATCCCTAATATATATATATATATATATTCAAAGGTTTTTATTTTTTGACGGGCAATTATTTTTTTTCAGTAGCACAATATAGAAATAATATGTGCCCTGTGATTTTATAACAACTGACAGTGTCTGTCATAAAAAGAAATGTATTGGTCAAAATAGCAATCAGCATGTCAGGCTTTTTTAAGATCAGGCAGAAACCTGGAATTGGTGCACCCTTATTTATAAGTTAGCTTGTGCACCTAAATGCGCCCTGATTACTCCTAATGAACTTTTCATTCTCTCTTCCTTCGTTGCCCTATCCAGATCACATCTGAGGGTGGCCCTCAGCCTCAATCCAACATCCTGTTTTCCATTTCTGATGAGGAAATCGCCTCTGTTAATGCTGTGGGGCATGTAAGGGGGGTCTCTGTTGGAAATGTTACAGTAACGGGATTAGTCCAAGCTGTTGATGCTGAGACTGGAAAGCTTGTGGTCATCTCACAGGTAAATGCATGGTGCTGATATGCTCTTTTATATTTACCTTGATTTATTATCTAATTCTTCTTTGTTTGCAGGATCAAGTAGAAGTTGAGGTTGTTGTTTTGACAGCCATTCGAATCAGGGCACCAGTTACAAGAATAAAGACAGGAGCACAGGTCTGATTATTTTGTTTTCATTATTGTTGCTTTTCACAGTTTTGTGGTGTAGTTAACTTCTGTTATTGTAGTTGCTGTATTTATTCATGTTCTGTTAATTGTTCTGAATAATCGCCTAAATTGTCTGTCTTCTTTTTTTATGTAGATGCCAGTATATGTGATGGGGTTGACCAATAGTCAGACACCTTTCTCATTTGGAAGTGTTTTACCTAGTCTCACCTTTCATTGGTCAACCACTAAGAGAGACATTCTAGATGTCCACTCCAGACACACTGAGGTATTTTATCTTGTTATATATCATGGTTAAAGAGTGACATTTAAAGATTTTCCTTTTAAACACATTCTTTTTTTGAACATCTATGTTGAATCTTTACCTTTCATCTCTATTTTGTTTTGTTCATTGCGGGGAGTTTTTTTTGTCTACACGTCAATCTGAACAATTATGAAAGCTAAACTTTACATTTACTTCCATAAAGCCATTAATAAGGTCTTAAGTGATGCATTTTTTTTTTTTTTTTTTTTTTTTTTTTTTTTTTTACCAGGAGAGGGGTGATTCTAAAAAGGATAGTGAGTCTTATTGGAGATGACAAAGCCTGTTAAATTGCAATTATTCTCTGCATAGATAAAGTTTTTATGCGCTGTTAAAGCATTTTCAGCAGGCCTGACATTGAGACTTAAGTGTTGGTTTGTTTTTATCCTTTTATAATTCTATGTTAACGTGTGCTTTGGATCACCCAGTTTTGTCAACATTCCATCTGTGTAATCCAAACTGTTATCATTGAATCAGAGGAATTAGGAAAGTTGTTTCAGGCATGGCCAAGTCTAGGACTTCCCATGAACCAGAAGTCAAACACCAGTTTAACTTCATAATGGACTGAGTGTAGGATTATAACACATTTACATTAAAAAAAAAATCTGGCACAGCCCTGTAATTTCAGCGAATGCTTTAATTGAATCAATGCAGAGTTTTTATGCCTGGATACATGAAAATCCTTATGTGTAACTAAATGCGCTTGTAACATTCTAAAGCACACCTGTAAAGAGTGATGACGACAACAAAAAAACAACCACCCCTAGCTATCATTTAACTCTGCTATTTGGAAGTTTCATGTAAATATCTGTTTTCCTGTTTATATCAAAACAGCTGTAAAGGGAGTCAAAAGAGAACACTAATGACATTGCATAACAGGATTGATTTATTTATTTAGACATATCAGAAACATGGTCAATTCAAAAATACTTTAATATTCTTAAAGGGAAATGTGTGGCCACTAGGGATGGGCGATATGGACTAAAAAATTTATCACAATAATTTCTAGGTTTTACCACGATAACGATAAGTGACGATAAAAAACAAAACAAAAACACAATATCAGCCTAATATATCAAACCAATCAAACAAGCCTGAAATATGAGAACAAATTTCACATTTATTTAAATGCTACACAGCAAATATAACTTGGCTTATAAAAGTTGCAAAGTAGTGCAACTGTAAATGCAACCTGATAAATTGAGAAACAGAACTTAAAAGTATTTCACTGAAAATTAAAACTAATCAGTAATCACCTCCTATTATAAATAGATGTGTAAATTACCAGTTGCTGGAACATGCCATATATTGGATAAATAAATACCAGTGCAAGTTCTAACATACATTACACTCGCTTCACTAAAAATAAAATTCAAATGCTATATCAACCTGTAACAACCTTTTTTGCTGTTGGGCTACAAAAATGTGCAAATGGCATGATAAATAAAGGGAAAAAAACAGAAAAATCTAAATACTAAAATAGAAATAAATTATTTCAATAAATTCCAAAAAACATGTAAAACCTGAAATACTTCTTTGTGCAAGAATGTACAAATAAGACTAGCAGGATTGTCAGCATACTAAACGATGAAATAAAAGTAAATAATTTCAATAAATTTAAAAAGAATATAAAAACTGAAATACCTGTCTGTGCAACGGCCTCTGTTAACTCTTTCCATCGCTTGCTTTGGCTGTCATATGGTGTGGAATGAGCAAACGCGTCGGCAAGTTTTGTTTGATTGGCAGTCGGGTTCTTAACAGAGGTTTTCGAAGTCGAGGCTTCTGCTGCATCGCAGCGCATCTTCTGACTAGCATCATATTCCGGTTTGTGTTTTAGGTGGTGAAATAAATTGGTAGTGTTGCTGTCCTTTGTCGTCACAGGTTGTCTGCAAACTTTGCATATTACGACTTTCTGCTCCGTATCAGACTTTTAAAATCCAAACCAGTTCCAGATAACGGAGCTGGAGCCTCTTTTAGGAACCAGGTCTTGGGGCACGTCTCCTCCACCTTTCGCCATGCTTGTTGTTTGCGCATGGCTCGCACGTGAGTTGGACTACAGGTGTGTCACGCGCAGTATACGTCACCGGTGGGAGTTTATAGTTTTTATTGCGAGATTACAAATTGTTACCATGAAGAATTTCTTTGACGATATATCGCACACGATAACATATAGCCCATCTCTAGTGGCCACCTCTGCCCCCCTTCTTTTTCATTTGCTCTTTATTATTGGCTCATTAATGTTCCATTTAAGTAACATTACTGGCTATTTAACTGTTTAATTTTAATTTAAATTAGTCTCTCTAAATAGAATTGTGCTTAAAGGCTGCTGCACCTCTCCCAAATTCTTGGTGACCGCAGACAGGATGCCTCTAAATGGTCAAATCTACATCCGCTCTACTCGTGCATTTCCTGTTTGGTACCTTACAGGCTTGTTTTGTTTGTATGACCGCGATTGCGGAAAACGACTCTGGAAGTTTCACCAGTTAGAAGAGCGAGGTGCGCAGTGACGCTGGGACCCTTTTTCGACCTGCATCCACGCTCTTTTTCGCCCTGTTGTCCCTCTGTTGTCGTAAAAACCTGCCCCCACTTCCTCACCACCTCAGCCATATCTAGAACCACAGCTAGTTCCTGATTTTCCCCTTTTCTGTTGTGGCGTGGAATAAACATAGTGCAGACCGAGGTTCATTGTTTAGCATTAATCAAAAATGTCTGCATCATACCTGCGACACAGTGCTGCGGGAGTATAAACCTGCCCTTTAGTCCCATTATAAGCTAAGGAAATGTACAGATTATTCAAATGCCTTTTATTTTTTTTGACGAACCATGCCTATTTTAGTCTCCTGCTTCCTTTTGATGCTTTTTTAGATTAAATTAA